GCGAACCTGCGTCCCCTGCATCGGCAGGCGGACTCTCAACCACTGCGCCACCAGGGAAGCCCAGACAGACCGTTTTGACCACTGTGGAGCTAGGGCTGTCAGGGAGGAGATGGGAGGGTCTCACACAGTCGAGAGATGATAAAGACCAAAGTGGAGGCGGTGGTGGTGGAGAGGATAGCACGGAGGGGGGAACACTTGCTGGGGTTGGAGGTGGGCAGGAAAGTATACTGAGGCAAGAGGAAGGGTCCCAGGGCTCTTGGGGGGTGACTGGGCTGTTAAGGGGTGACCAGGAGACAGGAGTGAATTGGAGAAGGGACTCTTCACCTCTCTTGGATGACCTTGGAGTTGCTGGGGCAGAACCCACGTGAAGACCAGTGCTGACGCTGCTGCCCAGCCCCTGCTGCCCGCCTGGCTTCGGGTCTCTGTCTGGTGCCGCTGGGTGATGTGGTATAGCTGGCAGAGGCCCGAGGCCCCACTCCTTGTGGCCTCCCTCCTGTGTGTTTCCTCCTTCCCTCCCATCTCCATCTCTGGGCTGCTCTGTGGGCTCAAAGAGTTCACGTGTATCTGGGGTGGGCCTCTGTGTCCTGAACAGAGTGGCACAGAAGAGCGAGGCCTGAAGCATTACTGGTTCACATCCTGGCCCGACCAGAAGACCCCAGACCGGGCCCCCCCACTCCTGCACCTGGTGCAGGAGGTGGAGGAGGCAGCCCAGCAGGAGGGGCCCCGCTGCGCCCCCATCGTCGTCCACTGCAGGTGGGTCCTCCCAGACACCCACGAGGGCAGGGCAGCTTCCCCCAGCCCTAGGCTGCCCTGCCCCTCACCCACCCACGCCCTTGGCCCTCAGCGCAGGGATTGGGAGGACCGGCTGCTTCATCGCCACTAGCATCTGCTGCCAGCAGCTGCGGCACCAGGGCGTGGTGGACATCCTGAAGACCACGTGCCAGCTCCGTCAGGACAGGTCAGCCCTTGGGTGGGGGGCTGAGCACGTGGGGAGCTAGAGCCCTGGGGGCAGCAGAGAGAGACTGACGTGTGCATAGGTTGAGGGTTAGGGGGACACACCCCACGGGGACTGACTGGCGGACAGGAAGTAGGGAGGACGGATGGGTAGAGCAACCGGATCCAGGCAGTTGGTGGCTGGATGAAGAGGGGAGAGAAACAGAGCTGGTGGACAGAGGGGCAGGGGCCGAGTGGGGGGGGACATGTCACCTGTGTCCCTGCTGTCTGTGCCAGAGCTGGGAGGGACAGGAAGGGGCAGAGGGAGTGGCTGGCCAGGGTTGGCCTCTCTAAGCTGCACAAAGGCAGAGTCCCTGATGTACCTCAGATGACTGGCACTCCGTGGATCTGGGGGCAGGTCCCTCCATGACCCCGTCCCCACTGTGTGTATGCCGGGCAGGGGCGGCATGATCCAGACGTATGAGCAGTACCAGTTCGTGCACCACGTCATGAGCCTCTACGAGAAGGAGCTGTCCCGCCAGTCCCCTGAGTGACCACACTCCCCCCCGAGGTCCTCTGGGTATCACCCAGCCTGGGCCTGGCCCCTGCCCCCCCGCCCAACGTAGCTCTTCCTACTGTACATATTGGGGAGTGGGGGAGGGTGGGGGAGGGGTGTGCCAGGCCAGGCCTGGGGCCCCAGGGCCTGACCCACGCTGCGCGACCTGGGGCCTCAGTTTTTAACGATGGTTCCATTGCTACTTGATCCAAAACGTTTCTGTGCCGCACTCCACGTGTCCTGCTGCAGCGTGTTCTGTCTGTCCATCCATCTCTGCTGTCTGTACCGGACACTGTGTCTCCTCAGCCCGGGAGAGGGGTAATGAGCTCCAGCCCCCAAGTGGCCCCGGCAGAGGTGCCTGCCCCCAGCCCCCAGCCCCACTTCTCCCAACAGGCAGATTGCACTTTGCCCCTAGTTACTGGGACCAGGATAAGGACGGGGGCCCTGAGGACCTGGAGGTCAGGCACAGGGAGCTCCTGAGGGGGTGGCAGAAAGATCTCAGCTCGGGGAGAGGTCTCTGGGTGGGTGGTGGGGGGAGGAGTATCGCAGCCAGGGTGGCCTCTGGGTGTCAGATCCCCGCAGGAGGCAGTGAGCAGCCCGCGAGGCATCAGGGAGGAAGGGGACAGATGGGGACAGTGAACCTAGAGGACCTGGGCCACGGTGGGAGAGGAGGAGCTCCGAGGGTGGGGTGGGGACTCGGCCCCAGATATGTGTGAAACATATTTCGGGGTCACTGTGGGAAATCCCTCCGAGAAGTCTCACCGCGTGTAGCTCTGCGTGTGTCCATGTCCATGCGTGTGTTGAGAGCCCGTCAGCAGGGTATGCATGACTCTTTGGCAACATGTGTTATCTTGGAGCCACGTGTTTTTATTGCTGACTTTAAATACTCATTCCACGGCAGACAGAGACATTTGGTGTCTTTTTATAATTTGCTCATGGTCATTGAATAGAGCAATAAATGGAGCATTTTGAGCAAAACTGGGTCTGTGTGATTGCCTCTCCCCTCCACTCCCTGTACCCCCGTCTTTGTACATACACGCACACACACCCTGGCCCTCGAGATCCCTAGCAACACACACACACACACACACACACACACACACACACACACACACACACACACACACACACACACACACACCTGCCCGCACACACACACACACCCTGGCCCTCAAGATCCGTGGGACCCCCTTGTGGATGCTGGGAGTGTGGCATGAATCCAGATTTGAAAAGCCAAAGTCCATCGAGCAGGATCCTCACACACCCCCACCGTCCCACCCAGCCAGGAGCCAGGGGCCATGGGGAGCCACAGGGACAGGTGTTGGAGGTTTCCAGAGAAGGAAAAGTGTCTGGCAGGCCACCAGCTTCGACAGATGGGCCAGAGAGGCCAAGGCTGGAGCAGGGAGACCTTCAGCTCACTCAGGCCCCTCCCTGTTGGCCAGCCCACTTATCCCTTGTTAAGCCCTGCAGGTCCCAAGAGCAGCTGCAAGCCAGCAATTTCCCCTGTAAGGCCTGGGCTGAGAGGAAGCCCCACCCAAGGAGCCTGGGGAATCTGCCCCTAGGCAAAAACCCTGTGCCTCCTAGACACTCCTGCTCTATTCTTATCCCAGCCCCCAGGGATGCAGCAAAAGTAGTTGTCATGCCCTTGATGACAGGTGTGGGTCAACCCAGGGCAGGAGGGAGTCCAGGGCAGGGCTGCTAACCAACCAGCAGGTCCTTACAAGGTAGCGGAGCCTTGAGTGGGCTGGTTGAGGGTCTGGGCTGCAGGTGTGCTATAGACAATGAGAAAAGAACAGGGAGTGCTTGGGCAGCTGGGACGGAGGGCCCAGAGTAGGGGGGCCTGCTCTCCAGCCACCCTCCAACAAGAGGGTGGGCCCTCCTACCCTTCTGCCCAGAATAGGGGGGTTGGGCGGTAGAAACGGGAGCGGGGGGGAAAAAAGCTAACAATTCCCCCTCTTCTCCTGGGGTGGCCCTGTGAGGCCACTCAGCCTCTGCAGGCACCACGTGTAGAGCACAACATGAACGGTGCCCCCTGGATTTGTGCAAAATGACAGACCTGCCAGACTCTCCCTAACTCTCCCCCTCCCGGTCCCTGGAAAACACAGACCTGTCGCTTTGTTCCCCAAGCCCTGTTGGCCACACACACACACACACACACACACACACACACACACACACACACACACACTCCCATTCAGCCCAAGCCCTCTGGGTCACACACACACACACACACACACACACACACACACACACACACACACACTGCCATTCAGCTCAGAAGGTCCCACCCGGCAGCAGTGAGAACCAAAAGCTCTGCACAAGGGAACAGAAAAAGTACCCCGGGACCACCACCCTCAGCCACCTGCCTGCCCCATGCCCCACGTTTCCTCCAGCCCTGGCCTCAGTCCCCCCATCCCCCAAAGCAGTGTGCCAGCTCGCTGGGACAGCTGCAGAGCCTGAGTAAGGGATCGCCCCCAGGGGGCCAGATACTTAAGGAACCAGTGACTCCTGGTGGCCCCATTGCTGGGGCAAAGGAAGAAGACTGGTCAGTCTACAGCCCAGCCACCAGCTGCACCTCCAAAGCTGCGGGTGGACACAGCATTCGAGGGTTACAAGGGATTGGTGACACGAAGGTAAGGCTTGCATCTTCCCTCAGGAAAGGGGCAGAATCTGCTAACTTCTGAGCCCAGAGGGGGACAGCAGGAGCTGGGACAGGGGAGTGGTCTCAGAACCCGGAGGGAGAAGCAGGCCAGGCAGAGAGATATCATGGGATGAGGGGGTTAACTTTAGCCCCAAACCTAATTTGGAAGAAGGCTTTGGGGTCCCCTGGAAGGACACTGGACTGGGAGTCAAGAGGCCAGGATTCTAGTCCGGGTGACCTTGGACAGGTTATTTCTCTGACATCAGTTTCTCATAAACAAAATAGAGGTTTAAAAACCGCCACTCTGGTTAAATAAAAGATGGTATGTATACCCATTTGTTGGAATACTGTGTAGCTGTTAACAAGGATGGGGAAACTTTATGAACTGGGATGGAAAGATCTGAAAGATGTAGAAAGTGAAAAGAGGGCTGAATAGCATGTGTAATAGGCTACCTTATGTGTTAAAAAAGGGTAGAGACAAAAACATATTCATATTTGCATGAAGGAGCTCCAGAAGGAGCCCAGAGACCACAAGTGGTTACCTGCTGGGGAGGGCTGGGAGACGGAGGGGCTTGGGAGCCGGAGGGAGCCTCTTCACATAGATGTTTATATTGTTTTAATTTTAACTGTATGATTGAATTACCAATTCAAAAAAGAAGTATAAGAAATAAAACTCAATCTCTGTCTTTACCATGTCGCAAACGAAAGCAGAGCTGTACCAATGCTTTGTCATCTGTCTTAGCATTCCCCCAATGCCAGGGCTCCCCAGGGCCCAGCAAGAAGATCTGCAGTTTCCTTTCAAGGCCTGCTCCAGTGTGGCTTAGTCAGGAAGTTCCTTCTCAGGTCTGACTTCATTCTCTCCTGATAAAACCTCCAGCAGTGCCCACCTAGTTCCATGTAGCTATCAGTAGTTATTCTCAACTCCTTCTCAGGGCTGACTTCATTCTCTCCTGATAAAACCTCCAGCAGTGCCCACCTAGTTCCATGTAGCTATCAGTAGTTATTCTCAACTCCCTCTGGGCCTTACTGGGTGTGCTGGGTAAGTCTAAATCCTACCTCCTCTCCCTCCAAGTACTTGGAATAGTTTGGCACTAGTCAGTGGGGGACAGGCCCACTGGTCCTTGTAGCCAACCAGGGAAAGGGGGACACTAAGGGAAGAGAAGAGAGGCCAGAGAGAAGAGGCTTGCTGCCCAACCTCTCCTCACCCTCTCCTGTGCACAGCCATTTCCCCCTGTGTCCACCTGTCCCATCCCTTCTCCCCCCCCCACACACACACATAAGAACATCTCTGAGTCTCTCTCTTGCTCCCTTCCTTGTCTTTCATGGCCTCATCCTCTCCCTGGTCCTCCCAGGTGAGTGCCCACATCTGCTGTCACCATGACGACCATTCACCACAAGGAGATGCTTCAGGAGCACGTGTCCATGGAGTTCTCCAGTTCCACCACCGACATGCAGACCTTCTCCCAGACAACCAAGATCGTGGGAGGCAAGTAGAGTGGGATGGCTGGAGGAGGGGGTCAGTAATCAGGTAGGGGCAGCCTTTCTTCCTCCAGTATTTGCGACTGCTGGGCCCCTCGAGAGCCCAAGATACCACCAGCAATCCTTCCCAACCTGTGTTTCTAATCTGTGCTTTGGTAAAGCTTAGCCAGCCAGATGCTCACCCACAGATCCAACCTCCAGAAAAAAAGCTTAGGAAAAATCAGTCACATGGATGTGTGTGAGTGACTGATGAACTCTCAATTGCTTAAGATCAGAGCCATAGGCAAATACCATTTCTGATGGTAGAATTTCAGGCATGGAGGAAGTTAGGGAGGTAGCAACCTTATCTACCTATGAATAATAATGCTGGCCCTGCCTGGAGCTGCCAGTGGAGAGAAGATGAACACATAAACAAGTGACTTGAGCTTCCAGGCACTCAGCCCTTGGGGACCAGACTTGGGGGAGGGCAGATCCAAGGGAAAGCTGAGAAATGGTCTCAGAGCAGAACAGACTGTTTTAGTCATGTCTCTAGAGGAAAGCGATTAAAAGATGGCCAGGAACCAGGATATTGAATTCCTGTCCTCCCAGTCATTGCCCGCTCCTTCAGAGTCCTCTGTGCACAGAGGTGAAGACCAGATAAACACTTTACACCAATTCCTCCTGGCCAGTGAGGCAGAGCGAGTGGAACAGCTGGGACTCAAGACCAGAAGTTGCAAACTCAGTTGACTATAGTAGCGATTCTCAGCCCTGACTGCGCACCAGAGTCATCTTAGTGTAGGAGTGGGGGGAGAGGGGAGTGAAAAAAAACAGCGATATGTGAGTCTCACCTCAGAGGGTTAAATCTGGTGGTTTTTTGTTTTTTGTTTTTTTAAGATCTCCGGGGATTCTGA